ACTGGAGTAGAAGTCTATTACAATATCTTCTTATTCTAAACTTTCAAACTCCTGGAGGGCAAATTTCTTTCATGTGTCTTTGTTCCTGAGGTTCCTACCTCAGTGCCTGGTACTTACATACTTAATAAGTGTTTATGTAATTAATAAATTGAAGATTGATTCACATGAACTTTTTTCCTTGAAGTCAAGGGTTGTTTAAATAAGACCTTGCCCTCCTGCCGTGGGCCCCCTTCTCCGTTTTATATTCCCTGTTGTTAGCCAGGTGTCTTTATTCTGGTTTATCACTGCCCCTCTCAACACACACGCACACACACACGAACACACGCACGCACACAGTATTCTTTTGTGAATGTATTTTTTAAAGGATTTGTGATAGGATTTGGGGGAAGGTATAATAATAAGACAGACATGGTATTGCCTACAAGGAGTTTACCCATATAAGAATGATATTTTTCTGTTACTGCTTGATTTTCACCAAATTTGAAGGACATTCTTCAGTGGTCTATTTTATTTTATTATTTTTTTTCAATACATATTTTATTTTATTTTTTAATTAATTTTATTTAGTTATTTTTCAAGTACAGTTTTTTTGTCTATTTCTCCCATCCCAGCCTCCCCCGCCCCTTGCTCCCCACCTCCCTCCCATTTCCACCCCCTTTAGTTCTCGTCCCTGTGTCCTTCCTATTTGTTCCTCCAAATCCCTCCTTTTTCCCCTTAACTTCCCTTCCCTCTCCCCTCTGGTCACTGTCCCCTTGTTCTCTATTTCAGTGTCTTTGGTTTTTTTTTTTTTTTTTCTGCTTGCTTGTTATGCACCACAATGTTCATAGCAGCATAATTTACAATAGCCGAGAGTTGGAAGCAACCTAGGTGCCCATCAGTAAATGAATGGATCAAAAAATTGTGGTACATATACACAATGGAATTCTATGCAGCAGAGAGAAAGAAGGAGCTACTACCTTTTGCAACAACATGGATGGAACTGGAAAGCATTATGCTGAGTGAAATAGGCCAGGCATTGAAGGACAAATACCATATGATCTCACCTTTAACAGGAAGCTAAACAACAAAACAAACAAGCATTCAGTGGTCTATTTTAAAATATAGATTATATACTGTATATTGTGTTGTATGAAAGGAGAGAAGGTTAAAATATAGATTATATGCTGTATATGAAATTAACTTTGGTTATATAAGGGAGCACCTCAAAGTTTTCCAGAAAATTTAAAACTAGGTACAATGAGAGGCCTGTGTAATTATTAATCTGTACAAACTGTATATTTTATGGCTCCATGATTAGAGAAAATACTTTCATATAAAACCCAGATTGGCAGTCACATTGGATTTGAAGTACCGGTTTGCAGTTTAGTTGCTTTTCATGTGAGCAGGTCTACATAATATGCTTTTATTTAGGGATTTGCTAACTTAAATATGGTTAATACATTTCCAGGACAGGGCCTTCTTAACCAACTACTGGCAGAATAAGAGGACAGACTAGTGTTGCTGGTGGGTAGGAGAGGCTCAGCCACCATGGTGTGTCCTCTTAGCACACAAGGAGACTGTTGGCTTTACTTTGAGGATAGGAGGCTTATTGCTTCATGGTATCAGGCATTTGTGGGAGTCATTAGTGGCTTATGGAATCCCAGTAATTATGAGAGCTATATAAAGCCCAAGGGTTAGTGAAAAATTGGGAAATGTGTAAACCAGAGAGATCAGCTACGGTTAGAGCCTTTACATGAGTTGGTTTTGCAAAGGAAGTAAAATTGGCAGAGGTTGGAGCGCTTTGGCTTGCTTGCTAAGATCAGTTCAGAGCCTATGCAATGGAAACTGAGGGTTTCCACCGCTGATCACTCACTGATTGAGGACTCTGGACTTTGTGTAAAAGGAAAGATTGTCATCTTTCACTTGGGAGGCTGTGAAAACAGTGTTTGCAGTTTTTCTCAAAGGAATCACATTCATTATTTTAGTAAGTTAAGATAGTTTTTAACTACTAAATTTCTCATCTTTCAGCAGTTAGTAAGTAAATTTAAATGACACATTGTAGTCGTTTATGTGAGTAAAATGTAGGTGCTATATCAGTAACTATGATGAAGAATTTCCTGAAGGGATTACTTAAATGAAGTTTTTGCAGATGTAAGCTTTGAGCCGCCAGTTAAAGAGATGGGAAACTTGAATTGGAGCTGCAAGATCATTGAGTTGGTAAGGTTTACATAGCAAGGTGAAGCTGACTGCAGGAAATTAGAAATGGTAAGTTTGGCTAGAGAGTATATATAGTATGATCTAAAAATTGCATGAGAATTGACAAGATGGTGATATTGGAAACTGTAATTTAAGTTTTATATTCCTGATGTGGATATGGCTCTACGTCCAAAATCCTTTTTTGGAGTACTTTTCTTTGTGCACTGCATCCGTCTGCCCCACCACAGATGCCTTCCCCAAATATATATGAGGCTTGTCCAGAAAGTATCCAGCCTTGTGCTATGTAAAATCTCTGTTTTTCATTTATTGAAAAAGGTACAAGAAACATTGTAAATAGGACAATGATGCCTAGGTCCCCCTTCACAGGAGGCACCTTGGGACCTCACACAATCCTCCCAACTACCATCAGCTGCCCCATTGTATTTCCTGAATCTCATCAATGGTCTAAAATTTTCTTCCCTTTCAAAAATGATTTTAGTTTGGGGAGAAGCCAGAAGTCACAGGACACCAAATCTGGGTTGTAGAGTGGCTGAGTCACCTGGATGATTTGACATTTCACCAAAAAGCTCTGTATGAGACATGATGCATAAGCAGGTGCTTTGTCGTGATGAAGCTGCCAGTCACCAGTTGCCCACAGCTGCAGGCTTCTGCATCATCTGAATAGTTTTTGCAGAGGAGTGCCCAAGCTTAACACAAAATTTGATGCAGATTTGTTGTTCTGCTCACTCAGTCCTTTCGAATGTGACAACCACACAGTACATATGCTCACTCAACAGTGTCTACTACCACCACTGACTAGTACAGTGAAGTCGTCATTGTTTACACGTGCACATTCCAGTCCACTCTCCTTGGCTGCCGGGTTACATAATGTCTGCAAACTGTTCTGGTTATATTAAAAATGGCTGACATCCCTCATATACTTATTAGAAGAGACAGCATTAAAATGGCAAAACAGCACAGAAGAAAGAGTGAGGAGACCTGGTTTTGGCATTAGCTGTCTGACTTTAAAAAATTATTTAAAATGCATCTATTTGACATACCTGGATCACTTACTGCCTGCTGCTTAGGTTCCAGTGCAGATGCAAGAAAAAGAATCCTTTAATAACTGTGAGTTTGCTGATCACATGGAGGGTTATCAACAGGGGAGTGGGAAGGGGAGGGGGGGGGAAAGGTACAGAAAATAAGTAGCATAGACGGTAGGTAGAAAATAGACAGGGGAGGGCAAGAATAGTACGGGAAATGCAGGAGCTAAAGAATTTATGACACATGGACATGAACCAAAGGGGGGGAATGTGGGTGGAAGGGGGTGTGCAGAGTGGAGGGGGATGAAGGGGGGGAAATGGGACAACTAATAGCATAATCAGTAAAATATATTTTTTTAAAAAGATAAGATAAAGAGTCTTCACTCACTCATTCTATCCGGCAGATAGAATCTGCCGGATTGTAGCAGCCAACATTGAACTGGGGAATACAAGCAAACAAACAAAAAATCATGGACTTTTTTACAACTCAGATTACTTTGTAAACAATTGAAGAGCCAGCTTTCCTCCAAAGAAGACTGTAAAATACACGTTTTCTTTTTTTAAATGTTGCCTAAGACCCAGCAGATTAAATTTGGATTAATAAGGAATTTAATCAGCTACAAAACAGCTTTTGTTTTGATTTTTCTGCCATTAATCTTTGGAAACCTACAAATTGTGCTTTAGGGTAATAATGGTCTCTTTTTCCAACTGCATATCCCTGATAATTTTGTACAAAGGCAGATAATGTCACATTATAGAAACTTTTGAACAGTCATGTTGTTTTCTTGAGTGTAGCTCTGCTATAATGAGTAGTCTGATAGAAGTCTATTCTACTAGCTGAAAATAGAGCAACTGAAACTAGTATATTGATCCACTAATTTACTGTGTTCACTATGGACAAGTGAAAGAAGTGGTAGATCCAGAAAGAAGAGGTTAGAATACAGATACCTGGGCACCATTCTTCAAACTCCTGAATCTGAATAGTGATGGGGCTCAGAAATGCTTCTTTCAAAACAAAATAAAACAAAAACTAGAGATTGTGATTAAAAGCCAAAATTTGGATTCACAGACTTAGTTCTACTCGTTAACACCTTGAAGTGCTATCATTTTATTTTAGGAATTCTAGGAAAGCTGAAGTAGCCTTTGTAAACTGTGGCAGAGGGTTCATAAAGCTTCTTAATCTCAGAACAGTAGGGCCATTAGATTATAGAATTACAAAAACCACTGGAGTTTACCTAATACAGACACCAATATACAGACACTGTGGCCCATGGACCAGATTTGGCCCTCAACCTGTGTTTTATTGGGACAGTCATGCTCGTTGATTTATGTATCATCTATGGCTCTATCTGGCTCTTTACTGAAAAAAGTTTGCTGGTTTTTCAGTAGGTCACACCTATCATTTTATAGATGTAGAAATAAGATGTAGAAAAAATAATGAGTGAAATATTCTGACACAGTTAATTAGTGGTCAGAGTACAAATACAGTTTAGTTCCTTGTCCTGCTTTCATGCCTTTATTTTTTGCTTATGGGACTGATGCCTGGGTGAGATCAGAAAATAGATTTCTGGTACAGAATTTTGTTTACAAGTTCATTATTGTATTATAAAACACAGTTATTAGGTTATGCCATCACATATTAGATAGCATGGCTGAACAAAGCCCTTTTTAATTTTGGGTCAGGGGAAGAATTTGATTGTAGTATATACTGTTTCCTGAATACAAATCTCCGGTTTGATCTGCCACGAAGTCTGATAAGAGTCTTTTCTGTTGCCGTTACAGCCAAATGGACGGACTGTTGAAGTGGCTGAGGAGGAAGTTGCCCTAACTCCTCGAAATGTAGCAGCAAAGCAGCCATTGGAGACGGATAAGAAAAATGAAAAGGTAAGCTTGGCATTATATTAAATTAGATGCAAGGCTCTTAATAGAATGACATATAAAAAAATGATGCTTCTCAGTTTCACAAAGTTATACATATACTCCCACCTCCCTTAATGAAAAACTGAAGATAATTGTAGCAGATGGATGAGTGGTTAAGGTTCCAGACATGCGATATACCTCTTCCTTGAAAACATTTGTGTTGCCTTTGTTAATAGTGTATTTCTAGCATAAAAAGCTTAGCAAAATTGTCATATAATATTCTCTTGTGACATAGTTTGACTTTTAATTCTTTTTTTTTTTTTTTGACAAAAGAAAATCCTCTAGTATTCAGGTCATTATTAAAAGGTTTGGATGTGCACTCATAAGTAAGACAATGTAACATATTCCATAAATGGTACATTCCTGGGATTTATTTATTTTCCAGTTGCCAGTGTTAGAATTGACCCATTTTATTTGACTTAATCTAGTTTATAAATAACAAAATATACAACAAACTGTTAACAGTGTTTCCTTCTGTTATGGAAGAGAGAAGTTCCATTTAATTCCTTTTGGTACTCCCTCCTTTTTTCTTTCTTTAACCCTGTGAGCACATAACTCTTTTTCAGGAAAAATAACCCAAAACCAACCACAGATAGGTAAATGGTTTCTGGGAACTAGGGTGCAGCAGGTCCAGCTCTGTAGGATAAATGGTATGAAACGGTTGCTACAGTTTCTTAGTGCTTGCATTTTCAAAATGTCTAAAGAACTGGTGGAATCAGTTCTCCCCTTGTAAACCAGTGGAATTGGTCTAGGGCTAAGACAGCTGCAGGTAGGATGACTTAATAGGAAAGATAGTTGTGGAAAAGAATTAAATTTATGTCTGACTTTGCTTTAGGAGAAAAATAAAAAGTATATGACAGCGTTAACAAATAGCGTATAGTTTAGAGACTTATACCTTGAGTGGTTTATGTGCTTAGTACGGACTTCTCCTTCTCCCATCTCGTATTTCCTTGTCTCTGGGCTTCCTCTCCCTGCTATGAATATTTTATACCCTGCTTCTGCTCCCTGAATTACTCTGAAAAATTTGTCGTTGGAATAAGTAATGAACTATCATTTATCTCTGATTGATTTATCATATATAGTTTAGGTATATCAAGATGTAGAACCACAGTTTGAAGTTTACAATTATTCTGAAATTTCTTATGTTAGGAAATAATTATAATAGTTGACATCTGTAATATGTCAGGCAAGTATCTATAATATGGCAGGCATTGTGTAAGGCAAGGTATGTGTATGTGTATGAATGTACTTACATGTATCTGGTAAGGAGCACTTACTGAGCACTTACTGGGTGTATTTTAAGACTTTATAGAATATTTATACACATAATTTATCATCGCAAGAACACTGAGTAGGTGGTTTTATACATATCTTACATATAAGAAACCTGAAGCCTAAGTTATCTGAGCTGTTAAAAGTACAGTTCGTTCTAACCCAGACCCATCTGACTTCAAAGTCTGTGCTTTTTACTGCACTGTATTATTTCTGATCCTTTCAAAATCTGCTAGGCAGATAGTAATAGCCCATTATACGGATAAGGGCTCGGAGGCATAGAAGGATTGTGTGATGTCACCAGTCTCATGCAGCTTCTGCACTGGGATCTGCACTCCCTCCGCGCGTGTGACACTGGAGCCCGTGCATGTTGTGAATCACCTGACAGTACCTCCTCCTCTCAACTGCTGTTGCTTTCTCAGTACAAAGCTCCCGTTTTTGTTTTGTTGCTATTTGATTTCACTTTTTGTCTAACAGTAAATCCCGCAACACATGGCTAGTGTTTCTGTTTACCATCCTACATCTTGAATTTGTGCTTTTGAAGTTGGTTCAGTCCAAGTGACTCAATTCAGGTAGTTTTTTATGCTATTGCATTGTGTTTTTGTATGTGATGTGTCTAGACTTGTTATCTTTCTTTGTAAACACACAGTGTCTTAGATCTACTTATTCACTTTGATATACATTATTATACTTTTTTTTTCTCTCTGATTCACACCTTGGGCACTTTGAGGAGTACAGTTTGCCTGTGCAGTAATTGCATGCTGAGCTGTGGTAGTGACTACCTTCCTCTGTCAGTTGACAGAGGAAGTGTTTTAATAGATAAAACACTGTCTGAAAACTATATATGAGCATATATGACAAGAGTTATATAGATTCTTGAAGGTCTATGAAGGTCTTTATTTAATGCTAGTCTCTAGTAGAGTACACACAGGACCATGATCCAGGCTGAATGTATTGTGTTATTAGATGCAAAGGGAATAAAGAGAAATGTAAAATATACTTACCCTCAGAGAGATGACGGTCTAGGTAAGGAAAGACAAGCACAAGGGAGAGATTAAGTAGCAAGGCACTGAGTGTCCAGTATTCAGAAGAGATAGATTATCCCATGTAGGTAGCCAGAAGGTGGATTTAAGTGGACTCTTAAATAGAAGTAGAGGGGGAAGACTGATTTTGGCAGGAGAGAAACAAATGAACACAAGTAGACGTTATTCAGCTGAAACAGGAGAACATGTTCAGATAGCCTCAAGGGGAACCCCAGACAAGTCTGACTGCTGCGGTGGCTTAGAGACAGATAGAAACTGAGTTACGGATTAGGTATGTTGGGATGTGAAACCCGGCGGAACATTTATGATTAACAAATCATTCTTGCATTTATGATTGTAAGGGTCTGAATTAAGATAAAAGTGTAAAGGCTGTTAGAAACAGCAGAAGCAAAAATGTATAAAATTTGGTCACCATAAGGTTGTGATGTCTACTGAAATACTGATATCATTCATGATATATATTAATAAGCTCTTACATTTTTATGATGCTGTAGCATCTTACACCATGTATGGTATACAAAATGCTTTCATCTATCTTAACCCTGATTAACAACTTGGAAGATGGGCTATTATTTTTTTTACACAACCCATTAAAAGTTTAGTGAATTGTCCAAGATCACAAAGCTAGTAAGCAGTACTCCCTCAGTTTCCCCAAAGCAGCAATTCTAAAAGTGTGGTCTGTGGACTCCTGAGAGGGGGTCGCAGAAGACAACACTATTTCTACAGTAACTAAGGCATTATTTGCCTTTTCCACAGTATTTGCACTAATGGTGAAAAAACAATAGTGGGTGAAGTTGCTGACTGCTTATCACAAATCAAGGCAGTGACGCCAAACTACTAGCAGTGGTGTTCTTCATTGTACTCTACTCATAGTAAAATAATAATAACAACAACAACATAATAATAATAAGTGCTAGTTTCACTCAAGAGTGTCCTAGATGAAGCAGTAAAAAAATACTAATTTTGTTAAATCTTGACCTTTGAATACATGCTTTTTAATTATTCTGTATGATGAAATGGGCAGTATTCATAAAGACATTCATGTGCTAAAGACATTCTTGAGAAAAAAACACTTGTTCAATTAAGTTGCAAACTGGACTAGTCACTTATTTTATGTTACTTCAGTTTTACTTGAAAGAACAATGGGTAGACAGGCAAGGGTTATATTTGGACAGTTATTTGCAGACATTTTTCTCAAAAATAATCAAGATAGTCCTGTTACTTCAAGGAAAACAACTGGTAGTATTTGTTACAAATGATAAAATGATTTGTTGCCGAGTGAAAATTAGGAATTTGGAAAATTTGTATCTGTCACCTTGTGCTTGACAACAGCATCCCAGCACCTCAGGGATTTCTGAGGAGATCGTTGTCATATGAACAACTGTGGTTTTTTAGAAACCTTGTGTATAGTGGGATGTTTTAACATTTTGGGAGATGTATGTAACGCAGTGAATCAGTGTTTTCCAAATGACAAATGCTTGAATGTTACAAAATCAGGCAAATCTAAAAAAGTCATTCGAAGTGCAAGAGAGACCAGTGGTCTTCAATGTAATGGAATATGAAAAGTACACGGGTGCAGTTTCCACATTGCAGCAATTTTTATGAAACTACCAACTGACGAGTTTTGGTGTAATATTATTTTCTTTGTCAACCTAAAACCCTTATTGACTTCCTGTTGCTTTTACTCCACAATCTTGACCATGACCTAAAGAGCCTGTCTGTGGTTCAAATCCCCTTACTTAGATCTTACCCCCTCTCAGGTATAGACACATTGTTGTTGTTTTAACTTTTTGTTAAGCAGCTTTATTCTGAAATATTGTGTGGTGATAAAATTTACTTTTAGGTGTACAGTTTTAGTGTATGTACAGCTATCACCACAATCTAATTGTTGAACATTTTCCTCCTCCCAGAAGGAATCTCGTGTCCATCAGCTGTTGCTCCCCATTTTCCCCTTTTCTTCCCTTCACCTTAGTTCCTGGCAACCACCAGTTTTTGGTGTAATAACGAATAATCTCACAAATCTAAAAAAAACTATTAAAATACTCTTTCCTTTTCAAATTACATATCTGTATATATAGCCAGATTTTTTATATTTTGTCAGTTACAGTTTATATTCACTATTATTTTGTATTAGTTTCAGGTGTGTAGCAGTGTTAGACAATCATGTATTTTACAAAGTGTTCCCGTTGATATTTCCAGCATCCACCTGACACCACACATAGTTATTACACTGTTATTGCTTATATTCCCTATGCTGTACTTTACATCCCCGTGAGTGTTTTAATCCCTTCACGTTTTTCACCCAAGTCCCCAGCCCCCTTCCTTCTGGCAACCATCAGTCTGTTCTCTGTATCTGCGAGTCTGTTTCCATTTTGTTTGTTTGTGTATTTTGTTCTTTAGATTGCACAGGTAAGTGGAATCATATGGTATTTGTCTTTCTCTGACAAATGTCAGTGTTCACATACCCTCTAGGTCCGCTCATGCTGTTGTAAATGGTAAAATTTTATTTTTAATGGCCAAGTAATATTCCATTGTATATATGTATCACAATGTATTTACTTGTCTATCGATGGGCACTTGGGTTGCTTCCATACCTTGTGTAGCCAGATTTTCTTCATGTACTTCAATCAAATAACATGTCATTAAATT